ACTTGGATGGGAGAGTTCCTCGCTTTGGATTTACTGACATCTTTCCTCCATGATATATTTCCTTTGCTCCTTTTTTCAAAGCTCAATGCCCTTCTTAGAGTCAGAACTTGCTTCAAGGAAAAGTTTGGGTAGTCTGTCATCCACACTTTAGTGTGAATTTAACCCAATATATTATCCACCCAGAGATGTTGACTCTTGAAGAATATAATATCAGTGAAATAAAGATTTGCCTAAAATTACATGGTGCAGAGCAAGACCCATCAAGTCCAAATTCCAAGTTCTTTCCTCAGTACAAGTGGGATGAGCCTCTTCTCTGGGCTGTGAGGTCCAGGCAGGCCTATGATCTCATGCCTTCTCTGCCTACGATCATAGCCACTCTGAGCAGGCAGTAATGATGAACATGCCCAGGTTCTATTTCTGCCGCCTCAGCCTCTGAATTCACATCTCCTATCAGTCAGATCTGTCCACTGAGGTCATAAAAAAAACTAGAAACTATGAGAAAGTTCACTTATTTCCTCTTAAGGAGTTCTACCTTATGATGAAGCGTCTTTAGGGAGCCTCATGGCTATTCCTTGCTATCACTTAGGGATCTTTCAGCATCCCAGAGAAACCATGAAAAGAAATTTTTCTGAAACAATTCTAGTCACATCAGTCCAAAGCCCAATGTACTAAACACTTTCAATGGTGTTAATCTCACTAAGAGCCTCATCTATAAAGTTTCTTGAACACCATCCACAATTTCTGCTGATGGATGGGTCTGTGGGCAAATGTTTGTAACATGTGACCCCACACCCTGGCCAGAGCTAACTGAAACACAAGTGGAGACCTGGCCCAGGAGAAACCAATCCATTGGCTGGGCTGAGCCCATTAGATTCTCCCACTCAAAAGAGAATCTTAGAGGATAAGATGGAGTTAGGCACTGGATCTGTAATTCCAGGCCATGCCAGAGCTGGGCCATGCTGAGCTGGGCCAAATGCAAGATGCAGACAGATGCCCACAGACCCGGGAAGGTGGGCTGCACTCGCAGCCTGAGTTCAGACAGAGCCAGCACGCAAATCACCTGAGGCTCTGTGTGCTTCACCCTGCACCCAGGCACCAGAGCGGGACAGAGGTGGTATGGAAGAGAAATCCTGAGGGACAAGCAGCTACCCCAAGACCCCACAGTTATGATGCACTTCGTGTTGAGTGCTGCCACAGAAGTGGTTGTGAGGGTGGAGAGAATGAACAAATGCATGAAGGGTGGCTGCATGGTGGGAACAATTAGGAACCAGGTAAGGTGGGGTCTTAGTCCATTTGGGCTGTTACCACAAAATACCTTAGACTGGGGGGGGGGGTAATTTATAAACAACAGAAATTTACTGCTCACATTTCTGGAAGCTGGGAAGTCCCAGATCCAGGCAGCAGCAGATTGGGTGTCTGGTGAGGGCTCGCTCTTTACTTCAAAGATGGCGCCTTGTTGCTGTATTCTCAAATGGCAGAAGGGGCAAAGCAGCTCCCTCCAACCTCATGTATGCGGACTCTGATCCCCATTCATGAGGGCTCTGCTTCCCAAAGGCCTCACCTCTTAACACTATCACTTTGGATGTGGTTCCAACATACAAATTTGGGGGAACACCAACAGTCAGGCTGTAGCACATGGGAAAGGCCACCTGGCTGTTACCTCACCTTCCATTTTTTTCCAGACTTTTCTGATCTCCCTCCTTATAACAGCTTTTTCTAAACTTCTCCCTCCTCTTGCCCATTCTCTTTCAGGGGGAGATCTGCCTCCTCTATCAGCGAAAAGATCAATTACTGAAGCAGAGTTCGGCTTGTGCCCCTCACTCTGCTAAGTCCTTGTTTCACCACCCAGACACCCTTTCCTTCTATCTGTGACAAAGGAAACATGCCTCCCCCTCTACAAAGCTAAGTCTTCCACATATTGTGCCACTCCTGAGGCCTTAGACCCCTGGGATCCCTCCATCCATCATCTACTCTCTCTTCTGTGTCTTCAGTCTCTCTGACTCTGACAGCCCCTTACTCTCCATCTGCAAATGTGCTCCAGAGTCTCTAATACTAAATCTCCTTCCTCAACCCCAGTATTCACTCTGGCTTCTGCCCTGTTTCTCTCATTCTCTTCATCTCCATAGACAAACCTTTTGGAGGCGTAGTCTAACACTTTCTCAAGTCTCATTCATCCCTCAACTCGCTGTGCCCATCATATTGAGAATACTGTGGGAATTGCTTTGGGGAAACAAGGGCAGGTCTCAGTTATAAAATCTGATGCTCTAGTTCCAAGTCTCCTCTTGAAACAACCAGCATTGCTGACCATGACCTCTCTGTTCGTCCAAACAGAACACAGACAGCACACACAAGCTGGTTGCTTTGCCCAAACCAGCCCACACCTCTATAAATAGTCCGTTTACTAACAAGGAATGGTGCCATATACTGGAGCCAGTGACAGAGAGAAGAGCTATGAGAACCAGAGAGAGCAAGCTATGTGGGGAGGACCTGCAGTGGAGGGTAAGAGTTGGGGAAATACACACCCTAACCCACTCTCCTGCTTCCCAACAACCTCCTGCAGCACCCCGCATTGGCTTGGACCCAGCTAGAGTCCAAAAGGCAAGAGAGCCCGCTGCTGACGGTCCTGAGAGTTGCTCCTCCAGGGGCACAGAACATGGGGAGGAGAGCTGGGGGTGCTGGATCTGGAAGCAAATGGAAGGACCCAACACTCCCTGCTCCTCCTCTCTGCTCTTCTCACTTGGTTGCTGTCACCCCGACACTCATCCTCCTCCCCTTCAGACTCTTGCCCACGTTTCTAACCTTCATTAACAGCAGCCACCTCTGACTTCTTCATTTCCTTTACAGTCTTGCTAGTCACATCCCAAACCTTGCAGTGGGAACATCTCCTGGGAGCTTGTTAGAAACGCAGAATCTCAGGCCCTTCCCAGACCCACTGGATAAGAATCTACATTTTAATAAGATCCCCAGGTGGCCCATGTACACATTAAAATTTAGAAGTGCTAGTGTATGGTATACTTTACAACTATTCCTCCTTTCAATGTAACATTGTAAGTGTTAACATGTGCCAGACTTAGAGACTTCATATTAAAACAGAAAGAAGTAAACTAGTAGGGACCTGTGAAATTCTCCACTACCCCCGTGATTCATTGCTTTGGACTTTGTCTTGAAGGACGTGGCCTTAAGGAGGGTGGTGTGCTTGTAGACTTGACTTTGTGCCTTCTTGTAGTTTTAAGAAAACCTTACCTGTTCCCTCAATCCTTCTTGCCTACACCCTTGGAGGCTCATGAAAGGAACCTAGATTATCCTTTTTCTATTTAAAAAAGGAAGACAATTTTGGGTATTCAAAATGAGAAGCCCATCATCTGAAAATGCTTCAGTTGATATTTGCCATATAGAAATATGACACTCAGTTCAATCTTATCAGAATTTGTATCTCTCTGAGCCTCAGTTTCCTCATCTTTAAAATGGGGAAATGATAGTAACTCCCTTATAAGTTTCTGTAAGGATTAAACGTGGCAAAATACGTAACATATGCCCTTCAAATGGACAGTGTTCAAATATTCATTGAATGGAAAAAGGAAGGTATTTACCTTATCTGGGCTTCAGTTTACTCAAAGGTAAAATGAAGACTTCAGTGCCAAGTTCAGCATATGTTGGTTCCCACAGCTCACACACAGCTCACACACACACACGTACAATCACATGGAACTCTGCTGTCACCTGCCGTCGCCCACCCGGTTTCCTGCTATCTGGAATCCCTCCCCAGCGCAGCCACCGCCGTCCAGGCCCCACCCACCCTCCTTCCACACCAGCCCCAGCGATCTTTTTTTTTGAGACAGAGTCTCACTGTGTTGCCCGCCCGGACTAGAGTGCCGTGGCATCATCCTAGCTCACAGCAACCTCAAACTCCTGGGCTCAAGTGATCCTTCTGCCTCAGCCTCCCGAGTAGCTGGGACTACAGGCATGCGCCACCATGCCCGGCTAATTTCTCTCTATATTTTTAGTTGTCCAATTAATTTATTTCTATTTTTAGTAGAGACAGGGTCTCACTCTTGCTCAGGCTGGTCTCGAACTCCTGAGCTCAAACAATCCGCCCGCCTCGGCCTCCCAGAGTGCTAGGATTACAGGCGTGAGCCACCGCACCCAGCTCCCAGCGATCTTTCTAAATACAAGCCTGATCGTTTCCTGCCTGCTCGAAACCCTCACACTGCAGCAGGGCCAGACTCTACGTCCCCGAACGCACTGTGCGGTTTTCTTCCTCCAAGCCTTCTGCACACTACGTCTCCCCTATGGGAAAGTCTCTTCTCCCAGTAACTGCGTCCTATTTGTCCAGACTCAGGCCTCCTCCAGCTCTGCCTGAAGCCTTCCGCCCGGTGCCCCTCCTCTGAGCACAGCAGGGGACGCGAACCTCTGACATCACTCCGTCCGTCTCCCTTTACACCGCAAGGGCTCCTCTGATTCTGCGGTTTCGGTGTCCGCTACCCCAAAGCGTGCAGCACGGGCGGTGCTTACGAATGGGGCTGCAGGAGAACGTGAGGACTGCTGCTCCCTCCTCCCCTCCACACCCCTCCCGCCCGCATCAGTGGCATCCACAGGGTCCCCGGCGCTCTCAAGAGACGCGAGTTCCACCAGAAGGACCCCATCACCTCCTGTTCCCAGTGGCAAACCTGGGCACCAAGACATTTTAGGTCTCATGCTCGGAGTTTGCAACCGCAGAGCCGTGCACAGAAGCCGCGGGCCGATCCTGCCAGACGCCGCTGCTCTGTCACGGCAGCCCTCGGACGTCCGCACCCTCGGCCCGGGCTCCGGGTCCAGCGCTGGCCGGGCCTGTGCCGGGAGGCTCCGGGGCGATGCCCAGGCTCCTCCCTGCGGATCTCACACGCATTTTCCTTCCCTTCCTTCAAAGCAGAAAAACAACTGTCCTTTCCAAGAGGCAGGAATGTAGTGTGAAGGGGGGTTGTTTGCCCAGAAATAAAGATCCAGATTCCCTTTCCCCGCAGGCAGCACCTCCGCGCGCCCCGCGGGGAGTGAGTGTGACCGAGATGCCCTGCAGGTGCCAGCATCGCAGTGTCCCGGCAGCGAATGGGCAGGGACGGGGACATTAACAGAGGGGGATGCGAGTGAAAGTGAGCTCTGTGCACAGCGTCGCTGCCTGCAGGAAGAGGCTACAGCCCTCTCCTCTCCATCAGCCTCCCCTCTAACAGGTCCGGTCTATGCAAATGCTGTAACACCCGCATATAATTCACATTTATGTAGGGAAAGCCCGCCCCGGCCAGGCACTGCGCAAGAGGATTAGAGGGGGGTGGAGAGAGGCTCCAAATACAAGGCCTGACCAGGATGGATAGGCAAGCAGGAAGGGCATTTCAGCTGAGGGAACGGCATGTGCAAAGGCATAGAAGCCTTATTTACCACAATGCGTGTCTGCAGGAAAGACGGATCAGCCCCGCTGACGTGGACTTCTGCTCCTGACATTGGTTAGGGCCAATTGTGACTGATGATCCACTTTGAAATCAGCCCTGCCGAGGCTCCACGTGGCTTTGGAGCCTGGGTGGGTGAGGTCATCTTCCTTGCCCAGCCAGGTAAACAAACCACAGAGCAAGGCCAAACCGGCGAGCGGGTCAGAGCAAGGAGAGGAAAGGCAGCCTGAGAACCACGCTCTCTCCTTCGAAGTCCAAGGAGAAGACCTGGTCCTTCGAACCCACGTGCGCCTTCACTGTTGGTGTTGGAAAACCCTGAAATCCACACTAGTGGGAAAGATATTAATAGCTACAGAGAAAGGTGGGAGGAACTGCTCAAACATTTGTCAGCTATTTTTCCACCTCCCAACCCTTGACTGATTTGACCGATTGATCAAAGTTCCCTGCGAGATGAAATATGCCCAGCCAAGAGAACTCAGTGGTCATTTGGCAGCTGTGGTGGGAAGGTTCTAAAATGGCTCCCAATGACCCCCACTTCCTGGCATTGATGCCCCCGCGTGGGACCTAGGGACCTGCTTTTAATCAAGAGAATATAGTAAAATAGTGGTTAGGGTGTAAAAGACAGACTGCCATCTTGCTCACTCTGCCGAAGCCAGCTGCCTGGTGTGAGCTGCCCTGCAGAGCGGCCCACATGGCTACGAGCTTACTCTCGTCAACATGCAGTGGGTGCACATGGAAGTGGATCCTGCCCAGCCGAGCCTAGAGATGACCGCAGTCCTGGTTGAGACCTTGAGCACAGCTTGCGAAACCCTGAGCCAGAGGACTCAGCCAAGCCATTCCATATTCCACAGAAACTGTGAGATAAATGTTGCTGTCTTGCGCCACTAAGTTTGGGGTCATTTGTTATAGAGCAATAGATGACTAATACACTTTCCACTCGGGCCTTCGGCTGCAATGGAGATCACGTGTGCCTGCACCAATGCCCGTGCCTCATGGAATCAGAAATGTCTCCTCAAAGATTGTTGAGGAGTCAACAATCTTTCCCCCAACCCTCGCTGTTAATTCGCATGTCTCCTGGCTAGGTAAGCACGAGGTTTTCAGGTTGTTCAACTTGAGAATTGCCTTATTTTGTGTGTGCAGAAGTGCCGGGTGAAGGAGAAATTTATACATGACACCAAACTCTTTCATACATAGACAGACACTTATCATGTTTCTTTGGAGGAAATATTTCTTCTCATAAGAGTCAATAGACCTATTGCAAAAGTTCAGAGAATAGACACCCACAGTCCTAGGCTGGGGTAATACTCACCACATCGAACAACAGATCTGGTAATAGTCAACATATTTAACAACATATTTACAACAGCTGACTAAAATGGACTCAGGCTAAAAAATCCTCCCCCAGGGAAGCCCTGAGGAGGAGTGTGCCAGAATTCTGAGATGCTTGTCAAGGCTTTCCCTCCCTGAGATTTCTTGACAGGCAGGCTCTGGAAAAGGGCAGAGCTGTGTACTAAAGGAGAGCCCAACCCCTTGTCCCAAACCTGGCAACATGGACAGGATGCTCTTCACCCAAGATCAAAGCAGGAAAAGACACGGTGGGCTCCAAAGAGGAACTCATCAGGAAGGAAGGAGGAAGGAGCTTTTGAGTTTGTTTTTGGAGGGGTGGGAGATGGTAATCTGGACTTGGTTGAAGAAGCCTGGGGCTGTGGAGGAGCCCCGGCCTTCCTGTCCCCAAGTGACATGGCGCTCTGGACCCTCCGGACCCTCCCATCCTGGCACAGTGTGAAGCTCTGCAGGCCAGTGACTAAGCCAGTGACTGTGACCTCAGAGAGCTGAAATTTAAGAGCCCAGAGTGGGACTTTATGAGCTCAGTTCTGAGCATAGTGCTTAAGGTGACATACCCAAATTAAAATGTCCAGTGCGTTTAAAAGTCTTAAAAATATGAGAGTTCAAAACTGAAGGTAGAGATTTTGTTTTACGGTGGTAAAATACATATAACATAAAATTTACCATTTAAGCCAGGCATTGTGGCACATGCCAGTAGTCCCAGCTACTCGGGGGGCTGAGGCGAGAGGATCGCTTAAGCCCAGGAGTTCAAAACCAGCCTGGGCGATATAGTAAGACTCCAGAGAACTTCTCTCAAAAAAAATTGCTATTTTAATCATTTTTAAGCGTGCAGTTCAGTCATGCTAAGTACATTCACATTATTATGTAACCATCACCACCATCCATCTCCAGAACTCTTTTCATCTTGCAAAACTGAAACTCTGTACCCATTAAGCAACAACTCCCCATTCTCCATCCCTCCAGCCCCTGGTAACCTCGGTTCTACTTTAGTCTTTATGAATTTGCTATTCCAGGTACCTCATACAAGTGGAATCATACAGTATTTGTCCTTTTGTGTCTAACTTATTTCACTTAGCATAATGCCTGCAAGGCTCATCCATGTTGTAGCATATGTCAGAACTTCATTGCTTTTTAAGGCTGAATAATATTCCATTGTATGTATGTACCACCTTTTGTTCATCCATGCACCTGTTAATAGACATTTGGGTTGTTTCCACCTGTTGGCTACTGTGAATAATGCTGCTATGAATATGGGTATATACAAATATCGGTTCAAGTCCCTGCTTTCAATTCTTTTGGGTATAGACCTAGAAGCAGAATTGGTGGATCATATGGTAATTCTATGTGTAAATTTTTGAGGAACTGCCATACTGTCTTTCATAGCAGCTGAACCATTTTACATTCCCACCAACAGTGCAAAAGGGCTCCAATTTCTCCACATCCTCATAAACACTTGTTGTTTGGTTTTGTTTTTTTAATAATAGCCGTCCTAATGACTGTGAAATGGTATCTCATTGTGGTTTTTATTTGCATTTCCTTAGTGATTAGGAATTGTTTAGTATTGTTTCATGTGCTTATTGGCCATTTGTATAAAAGATACGGATTTTTGAGTTATCAGCAGATAGAAGCTAATTAAAGTCATTAGCCACTGTTGCTTTCCCACCCACTATTTATCTTCTCTTTCTTTCTTATTAACACCCCCCAGTTTTGTTCTGGTCTGCACTGTGCCCAGCTAAATTATTCATTTCCTATGACACTCTCATAGCTAGGGTAGGCATGGGACCTTGTTCTGGAATGGGAGTGGAAGGCACTGAGGAGACTCCTGAGATAGCCTTTAAAAAATGTAACATGTTCAGTTGACAGTCTTCTTTTGTTTTCTGTCCTTTGCCCCTCCCCTTCTTTCTGCTTGGAATGTAGGTGTGATGCCCGAGGATGTGGCCGCCATTTTGTGCTGTAAGGAAAAGAGCCACCCACTAAGCATAGCAAAGCAGACCTACAGAAGGACACTAGTCAGCCCTGTACCAATGGCTCACCCTAAAACTCCCTGTTAGGGGAGAAAGAGTAACCCTTTGTTTGTATTGGCCACTATTTGCTGGGTTTCTATTACATGTAGCCAAACACAATCCTAGCGGACTTACAATAGAAGTGGATCCACTCAGGATGAATGTACAGAGTAGGAAGAGAAAAGAACAAAGAAGAGTACCCTGGGAAATACTGAGAGATAACAACAGGCAGAACAGGAGTCACTCACAGCAAGGATTGACTAGGAGTGTCTAAGGTGAATGTGGAAAACATGAGATTATAGAATCAAATAAATGAAGAACATTCAAGGAGAGAGTGTCAAAGTGTCTCCCTTACTGCAGAGACACCCAGTAAGGGAGCTACTAGAAAGCATGAATTCAACAACAAAAAAAAAAGAAGAGGAGACAGGGAATCTCGTAACAAGGAGAGTGCAGCATGTGCAAAGCAGGTATTTTTTTAAATGAGAAGCACTTGAAACACTGACAATAGAAGCCAGAAGAGAGGCAGAGAGCATAATACTAACTGTCTCCTTCTTTTGCTTAATAATAGAATCCCCTGGCTCAGCTCTTACCAACTACAGTCTACATTCCCCAGCCTCCATACAGTTAGGTTTGGTCTTGTGACTTGCTTTGAGCCAATGATATCTCAGCAAAAGTTACGTGCGAAGTTTCTGGGTTATTTCCTTAAAGACACCTACTGTGGACACATTCTCTCCCTTCCCCATTGGCTGGGAAATTGCAGCAACTACTTTGGATCCTCAAATTTAAAACGGATGAATTGTACTGTAGCAAAATAATACCTTAATTTAAAAATAATTAAAAAGAAATAGTGATTCTTCTTTTATAAGAATATTAAGGAAAGGAAAGAGTGGTGGTCATTTTTCAAGACCTAGTTGATAAAATAAAAAGGTGACAACCTTATATGAATCCCCAAATTTTTCAGGGCTTAGAAATGAACAAGTCTGAGAACCACTGTGTTAGGTATCTATAGCTGTGTAATAAACTATTCCCAAATTTAGCTGTTGAAAATAATAGGCATTAATTTTTTCACAGTTCGTGTGAGTCAGGAATCTGGACTGGTGTGGCTGGGTCATCTGGCTCAGGAGGTCTCTGATAAGGCTGCAAACAACATGTCAGCTGGGACTGTGGTCTCATCTGAAGGCTCACCTGAGGGTTCACTCCAAGCTCATTCACATGTTGTTGGCAGGATTCAGTTCTTTACAGGCTGCCGAACTGGGGAACTCAGTTCCTTGTCTATGGTTCTCTCCATGGTAGCCAGCTTCCAGCAGAGTGAGCAAGTCAAAAAGCAAGAGAAGGCAAGTGAGATGGAAGCAAGAGTCTCTTCAGAGGCTGCCTATACAGCCATCATCCAGAATATCAGAGAGTCAGCTTTGGCAGGGTGGCAAGCCTTCCCCACTGTGAGACGAGAAGGGGAAATGCTGGGAGCCATCACACCTACCCATGTAGATAAGTTGATGGGAAGCTAAGGGATGGTGGATTGCTGGCTTCCATTTTCTCCCCAAATTAGGGTAACCACCCAGAATTGAGGGCAGGTGGTGGGGTAGGAGATTTGAGGGGAATGGAGAGCTTTCAGAGTTGTTATGGGCTGAACATGGTAGCTCACGCCTGTAATCCCAGCACTTTGGGAGGCCAAGGTGGGATAGTCGCTTGAAGCCAGGAGTTGGAGATCCAGTCTGGCCAACATAGTGAGACCCCACCTCTACAAAAAAAATGTTTTTTAATTAGCTGGGTGCAGTGACATGAGCCTGCACTTCCAGCTACTCGGGAGGCTGAGGCGGGAGAATCACTTGAGGCCAGGGGTTGGAGATTATAGTGAGCTATGATCACACCACTGCATTCCAGCTTGGGCGACAGAGACAGACACTATCTCTAAAACAATAAAAATAAATAAAAATAGAGAGTAATGCTCTAAAAAAAAAAAGTGTCTTGGGGGGAGGGGGAGCAAGGGCAACATACGTAACCTAAACATCTGTACCCCCATAATATGCTGAAATAAAAAAAAAAATTAAAAAAAAAAAGTGTGATGCTCTAGCTGGGACCTGAGCCTGTAGAGTTTTTCAAACTATGCATAAACTGCACTTCACGGCGCCAAGCACTTTATGTCCATTACGAGTTGATACTTAAACCCACCCCACAGTCATATTTGCCTTTTTCTGGGAAAACCATCTTGAAGGAAGCAAATGCCCAAATTTTACCCCTGAAGGGAGCTGTGAAGCCACCAGGAACCTGAACATAGATGTTCTGGACAGACATGAGCTCCACCTGATCTGGTGGAGGGAAGGAGCTGGACTAGACTCTTGACATTCTACATGCACAGATGATACCAAAATGTGCTGACAGTAGCTGCAGCTCTGCGGGGCCCAGCCTGCAAGGCCAGGGAGCAGGGCTACCGCTGAGAGTGGGGCTGCTGTCCCTCTCTGGAATTGGATAAACAACCCCATTGTCAAGTGTCATAGGCCATGGCACACCCCAGCACGGGAAATGAGAGAATCTGAGTCCTGGGCTGTAGTAAAAAGTCATTTCTTCTCTCTGGACCTGGGGACAAAGTGAAGTCTGCCCCAAAGGTGAACTCAAGTCTCCACCCTCTCTCCCATTTGGGACCCTTGGTAGAGAGGGTTGACAGAGCACTTTCTCTGGGGAGAGATGATGGAAGTTACAACTCTGTGAGGGGTGGAGGGTGCCCCCAAACATGATCCTGTGCCCTCAGAGACACCTCATCTGGTAGGTGGACACTCTGCATCTCTCTGCCCTTCACTTGTCCAAGCTTCCAGGACAGTCCTAATAAAAATCTCAGCCTAATCTCAACTACATTGCAGGGCCTTAAGAGAAAAGCTTACCCATCTCTCTGCATGGAAGAGCAGAAGGGAGAGCAGTGTCCCTTTTCCCAGGCAGGGGAAATCACGTGCTGACGTTACTCAAAGGCCAGAGCCCAGGACCACAGGAGACCAGTTCTAAGACAGCCGCTGAGTGCGGCTGGAGAGTTGCACGCTGGGGTGGTGGGAGGCAAGGGCATGGGCAGGGCCAGGTGAAGTTGACTGGAATGTGGGTTTGTAACAGCAGGCGACAAGAGTCACACACGCCAGTCAAGCACAGGCATTTGGGGCTTGGTGTGGCCGGTGCTCCCCACCCCATCCCCCAGCCCAGCTCCTTTCAGGACAGCTCTCCAGCCAGACCACAGACCAGCCGCCAGTGCAGACTCGCCAGAGACATGACCACCTGAGAGATTGCACATCCTGCCTTCCCTCCACCAGGGCCATCGCTCCAGGAGCAAGAAGCAGGCATGAAGTGGGACCTAGCGTTCCAAAGCTGCCTTGACACCAAGGAATTCAGAATGGCTTTGCTAAAAATAAAAAATAAAAAACAGAATGGCTTTGAATAACAAACTTCCAATTCAATGCAAAATCCCACCCACCTGGGACCCTCATCTTAGCTGAGCGTTTGTCACACGCAGCCCAGGCAGGACTCTGAAGCAGACAGCACCTTACCTTAGAGACGCCAACATTCTTTGCTGGTCCCTAATGGGCTATGGACTGGGAAACATCCCAGGCGCGCTGACCTCAACTGTGTTCCTTGTGCCAAAAAGGGGTAGAAGCCAAAAAGAAAAGAGGCAGAAGAGGATAATTTTTAAGGAGAAAGATATTCACAGATAGTTCACTTTCTGGCTTTCAAGCCCTGAGCTATAAAGCCTTGGGAAGTTGCAATTTGCAATCGAATGTCAGACACAATCTTCTGGCTGGGGATGCAGTGGTGTCAGCTTCCCGAATTCTCTTCTCAAAATCCGCTCCACGGGGATTTAAGTGATGGGCATGAGATGGGCTTTATCACCAAAAAGCAGGAAGGAGCAAGGGTGTGAGCCGCGCATAACTTGTAGGAGGGCTTTTTGGGGTAAATCCAGCACCTAATTCCACACGCCCACCTAGGGCAGTGGTCTACCCGCCAGGAAGCCTCTTCCTAGCTGCTCCTCCTCACACGGGAAGCCAGGACTCTCCCAGGCGACAGCCCTGTCCTGGCTCCACTTATGGAGGCAGAAAGAGAAGCCACAGAAACCTTAAAGGGAAGAAAGGGAAACTGAGCTCTCGGAGTGGGTGTGGACGCCTGTGGGGGAGGCCGGTGGCCCAGGCTCGCAGGCGACAGTTTCTCTCTGTGCCCTGAGCACTCCAGGCAATGAGCGGAGCAGTCGGAGAGGAGGGGTCTGGTCCAGAGGAATGCCCTGCTGGCCCTGCCATTGTGGCCTTATTGTGGCCCCAGAGAGAGACCGCTTGGTCCCCGTGACCACGGCCCCTGTGTGCCTGAGATGCCCCCTTGTGACCACAGCGCGCCCCGCAGCTTCACCGTCCCAGTCCCGCTTATCCCAGCCACACCCCGGGTGCGGCAGACTAAAAGATGTCGCAAGGCTGGAGCCATCTGACCGCTCCTTCCAAAGGCAGCTCTGGGGCGACTGCGGCGTCTTCCGCGTGGGCTCGGGCGTCTGGGTCCGGGGCTCCAGCACAGGCGGGGGTGGTGGCCAGCTGGGAGGAGCTGCGGGGGCACCACTGCCCTCCCCACCCGAAGGGACGCCCGGGGCAGCTGTGCCCCAGGGCCTAGAAAAGTGCCTGAAGGCCAGCGGCCGCTACTAAGGGAGGCGAGACCCACGAAGGGGAGAGATCGGCGGGAGGGCAGAAGGGGCCAGCCCGGCCGCCCCGGCAGAGCGTCCGCTGGGTCCTGCTCTAGCCGGCACTGGGTGGACGCTGCACACTCCACGCACCCAGCCTCCCGGGGCCATTCGCGCCCCACTTTTGCAGCATGGTGCGACTGCCCCGCAGAGAAAGAAAGAAATACAAAGAAGGATAAAGGGCTGCCCGCGAGGCCCGCGGGACCTCGCCGCGTGTGCGCTGACTGCCGGTGAGGCGCCGCCCCCTTGTGGCCGCTGCCCGTCGCCGCAGCTGCTGGGACGCGGGGCACCAGCCCGTAAATAATAAGGTCGCCGCTCTGTCCATGTGGCCCTCTGCTCCCAGCGGTCACACCCACCGGTGGATGCGGGCGGTTCACAATTACACCACAAAATAGCTTTTTTCTGGTTCGGCCAACCAGTTACAGTTGTTTAAAAAGACGCAGGGAGTCTGGGCCCGTCTGTGATGGTCACCATTTCCTCTTGCCCAGGTGCGAGGTGACCTCTCTCGCCCCGTTGCTTTCCCTGTCTCCGCAGTGCTCCCAGACCTGAGCTCCAGCGCTCCCCTGCGGAAGGCCAGGCGCAGCGTCCTGCCGCTCCACGCCCTGCGAGCCGGGCCGGCCCCGCTGTCTCGGGCCCCTTGGCGTGAGAGCTCGTCAGCCCCTCACGCGAACGGCCCCCGGGGGTGTTACGCACCCCAGTCCCCCAAGGCTCTCAAATTAGACTCTCAAACTAAAGCCCTGCCATAGTTACAAGACGGTTTTGTTGCAGATTTTTGAGCTATTGGTTCTCTCAGATATTATCACTATTGACAGAGAAAGTGTTGACTGGATATAAAGGAAAAAAGCAGAGAATGAGAACATCTAACTCCCAGCCCTGGTGTTCACCCACCAGCTCTGTGACCCTGGGGGCCTCTCTGAGCTTCACTGAGCTTCACTGGTCACCTGTTAAAATAGCGAGGGGTGAGGCTCAAAGCCCGTGGTGTTCAGGGCAAGGGAGGACTTCGAGGAGGATCTTTTAGTGCAGAAGAAACTTTAGTGAAAAGGAGACGATGGAGCCATGCCTGAGAGAGTGGTTTGCGGTCCCCGCCCTGGCCAGCGCCATGAACTGGGCCCTGTAGCACCTCAAGGATCAGCGACTTTGGGGTGGCCAGCTCGAGGAGCTGGGCATGGGCCCGGAGGACAAGGCACTGGGAGGGGGGGAGGATGTCCAACCCAGACCTGGCAGAGGACATAATGGATTTGTTCCCAAACTCCTGGGGACTTTCAGAAGTGTCTGTGGTGGAGGACACCGAGGTCCTGCAGTTATGAAGGACCTGAGCTGCGGGAACGAAGCTAACGTGGGAAGCCTCATACGGACCCACATATCGGCTGCTGCCGGGGAGAGCTGGGGGTCGTAATCGGGATCCCTGGAATCTGGTGCTCTGAGTACATACATCATGCACATTCGATACCCTTGGAATAGAACCAGTTTATTCATTAGGGAAACCCTGGAAGTGGCATCAATAGAGAATTCTGGTGCTTGCAGCTGGAGAGGGACCCTCAATGCTCCCTGCTGACTCTGGAGACCCCTGAGGGCAGCAATGTGGCAACAACTAGAGAGACCTGGGCTGCCCTGAGCTCAAGGGCAGGTCTAGAGAGGTGCCTGCCTGTTCAGGAGGGAGAAGCGTGCAAACAGCCTTACCCAAGCATGCTGAGCTCTCTGATCCCTCTGGGTTCCTAGGGAAAGGATGCTTGAAAGCCCTCTAAGTTTCTTACCTCTGATACTCAGTGTCTGAAAGGATGGAGTCTTCCTAGAGACTGTGAGGGTAGCGGGGGTAGGGAACAGGAAGGACCGTGTCAGATGTGCCCGAACCTGGGACCCTCTGGAGATATGGGCACATGAGCTGGATCCAGCAATTCCTGAAGCCATACTACCCGTGCCTTCCCAGTTGCATGATCCCATAATAAATTCCCTTTTGTGCTTGAGTTTGATAGGATAGGGTTTTTGTTCCTCATAACCAAATGAGTCCTCTTACAATACAGGAGTTTGTTAAGACTTCATAAACAATTAGATAGGGGCTAACAAGAGGGTGACATCTCTGTCAATGGCAATATGAAGGCTGCCATGGCAAGACAGAGAAGTTAGGTAGGTGCAGGACAGGTTTTGCTGGGCTGCATTAGAGTAGCAGTCTACATATGTATGAATGCTCAGTGTGGGCTGGGTGGGTGGACTTTGGATCAGCAAGAAGACAGTTTCCATTTTCACACGCAGGATCATCACTCTTACAGTCCCTAAGGCACCTCTCATCCTGCATTCCACGATGTTAGCACTTAACACTTAATGTTGAAGTGTGTTGGGTGCCCGAAAACAACCACACACAGGAATAAAACCCTCCCCAATTCCAAATGGCATGAACTAGCTACACACAAAGAGAGGGGAGAGGCTCCTGTGGATTGAGGATTATTAAAAATGAAGAATGTTTGTCAGGGAGAAAACCTTTGTTTATATAAATAGTAGGAGCGCCACCATGGTAACTCTGCTTGGTTTGCTCTGCAGCCCAAAAGGCCCTCATAGCCAAATTACCACCTCCTTTTTCATTGCTGGCCTACATTTTTTAAAAAACATCTGCAGCCAAAATTCCATGATCTGCCTGCTTGGTTTCCAGGCTCAGAAAACATCATTTAAAAAGGACTTGGGACCCAGTGGAAGCCACTGCCAGAGCTTCTAAATGAAAGCTCATTTCTCTCACACACAAAGACACATTTTGTTTGCCAAACTACAGTATGCTTTTCCTTTCTCACGTAACCCAAGTTTCCTTGGACCTCACAAGCCTGCAGGGCCAATGAAATTACATTAACATGTGACCAACAGTAACCCATATCCATGCGCCCTGGGTGTTTCTCCCACCCTCACAAACACTGTGAGCCTCCTAGGAAGTGCTCCTGAGTACTTAAGGGGGGGTGCTCAGATGGAGCCCTGAACAAACCCACTGCCAGGTGCAGGGGGGCCTATCTCTGCACAGTGTCCACGGGCTTCCCCCATCACCTCAGAGCTCTCCCTGGAAGCCAGGGCACTGGGTGGTGTGTGAGGAGGCCAAGGAGAACTCTCGCTTCTCTTTGTGTTGCACTCAATTAATACACCCCAGACCAGGCTGCTGTGCCCACTATTTTGTTGGCATTGTCAGTGGGAGACCTTAGAGTTTACTTACAGGCCCCTGTCATCCGAAGAACCCAGCCACAGGTCCAAGGGCTGGTCCAAGTGGTGGCATGTGGCTCTTCTCAGGACTACTCTCCCCTCCGTAGCCAAGGGCTAACGCATGTCTGCCCTGCCAAGAGGACGCGCAGGCCCTCACCTAAGGAGTCTTCCAGGTGCCCCACCCCTCACCCCCAGTCAGACATGTCTAAGCATGTCTGTTCCCACTTAGCCCCAAGTGGGGACCCCTTATCCGTCCGAGAGAGAACTGAGAGAATGCAGCAATGAGAGCCACCCTCTCTGTGTGGCTGCCTGAGGCAGCTGAGAAACCGAACTGGGCCCGAAAAGGATTGCTCCACTCCAGGGGAAAAGTAAATTGACATCAGATTATTTTCCTACAGCTTGTCCCACTTCTTAATATTTGCCACATTGCATTCCACATTCCAATTTCCAAAAGGATAGGAGCATTAATAATATAAAAGAAAAGTGAAATTAACTGGAATCAAAAACGTTCATTATTTTCAAGTGTATAAAGCGTGAGATTTGTGGCTGAGCATCAAGTATGGCTTTATCCTGATATGTTCTCCTAGAGACACCAAAGAAACAGCCTGGCATGCAAGCAGACCTGCAGAGATGCAGTAATGTTGCAATAAATCAAGTTCAAGTTATTTAGTAAATTTGGTCGGTTTTTGGATTTCTGTTTTTCTTACTTGGCTTGCTATAGTTTGGCTTACTTTTTAAAGTTTTTAAAGTTCTTCATTTAATAGAGAATAAGTAATGCCTTTGCTCTCTCAATTACCTTCTTCCCATTCACATTTCTGATGAGTTTTACCTTCCATATGTAACATGTATTACATGTTACATATATCACAGCATTAAAAGCCCTTTTATAGACACTCTTTCTAGTAATATGTGTTTAAAAGCTTCAAGGCCCCAGTGCATTATCTTTCTTCATTTTCAACACAGGCTTCAATTCACACATTTTCAACTCAGCCCAGAGAAGGTGGGAATTAAAAATGACTTTTAAGAAAGGCAAATTGACTTATCCTGGTGTTTCAATCCAAGCATCACACCAAGAAAATGATGACGGCTGGGCGCGGTGGCTCAC